CATTCTGCGTGATGCTTTTCCGCGGCGGCCTTCTTTGTTGCTTCCTCCCACTCTCTGACGACCAAGGCAGAACAACAAGAAGAAAACAAGAAGGCTGTGTGTGAGTGACGGACGTCTGTAACTGAAGAACAACAACACAGGTGTGCCAGTGAGGCGCACGAGGGTGAGGTGCCCACCTCCACACATATAGGTGCAGTAGGTACATTATCTGACCCTCTCGCCCTCTCTCTCTCTCTCGACATACATGAAAGTAGGCGTGGCGAATGAGTCGGCACCGCAGGGTCCAAATGACGCCGGGGTGCAATTCAAAACGAATCCCCTGGGTGATGTGGGGAGCAACACCGCAGCGACTTCAAGAGCGTCTTTTCAGAAAGAGGATGGAACAGCTGCAGAAACACCGGAGTCTGCCGCGCAAAAGGTGCCCGTGAAGGAAGAGGATGAGGAGCAGGCAACGAGGGGGAAGGAAGCAAGTGACGAAGGACAGGGGTTGCCTGTGGAGAGTCTCGAGGCTGCAGCCTTCCAGCGCTGTGCAAAGAGTGAAGGCGTTTTCCATGGAGCCCCACGCAAACGGACGAAAATCTCGTGGAAGTGCGGCATGTGCGGCTACCACGTCCTTGCCATGGACCAGGATGGCAGACCGCTGCCACTCTCCGTGTCATCCTTTGGCCAGGTGCTGCCAATGACCTGCCCACGATGCCTACTAGAGCACACCAGCTGGGAACAGGCGGTGCCGTTTGACGAATACGGCGATCACGCGAATATTCGCTCCAAACTCTCGAATAATTACGCCCGTACGACAGGCAATGCAGGGACGGAGATGAAGGACATCCGGCCTGCCCACACCACAAGAGCAACAGGTGTTGCGGGAGCCACACCAGATATCCCTCCCATTTTCCAGGATATCTGTTGTAAGGTGCCAAAAGACGCTGTGGGGTATGTGCCCGCGCTACCTGATCCAAAACCTCGCGGGCATCGTATGGCGTATTACTGTAGCAAATGCAACAGACAGCTCCTACGCATTGACCCCTACGGTGAGCTTGTTCCGCTGGTTCGTGACAAGGACGGGTTGGTGCTGCCTATTGTCTGCCCTGGATGTAAAGTAGAGCACAATCAGTGGGATGTGAGGCCATTCAAGATCACGCTATAAGGAAGAGTCAGTTGCCTCTGTGTCTCTTTCTCTCTCCCTATTGTATGTATTTGTCTCTCTGTGTGTGCAGTTGCCTTTTTGGTGTACATGGCCTGGCAGGAATGGAGTTTGCTCGGTGTTGATCTTTTTTTTCTTTTTTGATTTTTTTTTTTTTTTATCCTTCGTTTATGCTGCCATGTATTCTGGTCACTTGTCTTCTTCCAATTAGGGCAGCAGCTAGGGAGTTAATGGATGTAGATGTGATTTTTGCCTTCCTCCCTGGGGCGGCGCATGGCTTTGCAACAGTCACACTGGGGCATCCGCTTGACACCGCCAAGACACGCATGCAGGCATTAGGCCCGCGGGCGAGCAGCTCCTTTCTAGTCACCATGTGGAACATGGCTCGTGAGGAGGGGGTGCGGAGTTTGTACCGCGGCGTCACCCCACCCTTAATGATATCTGCAACGAAGCGTAGTTTACAGTTCGCTGTGTGGGACGCACTTCGAGAGTCGGACGGCCATCACGGCTTGCCTGCGGAAGCTTCCTCTTCGTGCGGCAAAAGTGTTTTTTCTCACGCGTTTGCATGGGTGCGGGCTTCATCGTTTCTTTCTGGGGCAGTTGCAGGTGGCTTAGGGACCCTCATTGGTTGCCCGATGCATGTCATAAAGATTCAGACCCAGTTTCTCACCCACAGCGTGACGAGAAATGCCTGGACGTGTACGCTTGACATTTACCGCAGCGAAGGTTTTCGTGGATATTATCGCGGTTTTCGCTACCACGTCGTGAAGGATGTATTTTTTGCCAGCTGCTACTTGGGCTTATACGATGCAATGAAGCGATGGCTGGATAAATTCGACAAGACGTCCGCGCGACTGAAGCGGGGTTCTTCTGCACCAGTCATAATAGGAAGCTCCGGCGAGCTTTCCAAGGGCCAGTTAGCGTTTCTTGCAGGCAGTATATCCTCCATGTTCACGTGGACTCTGCTGTATCCGCTTGACACCATCAAGACAATCGTGCAGGCCCGCAACGTTGGCTTTGTGCACGTGATGGCCATCTTCAGGCAGCAAAGGACCGCCATGTACCGCGGGCTGGGGGCCTCGCTCGTGAGGGCGGGTCCAGTGAATGGTGCGGCAATGGTGGCGTACGAACTGATGAAGAGCAGGACAGATTTGCTGCTGCTGCACAGAAAAACACGTGCAGCGGAGGATGCGGGCGGAAAGGTGCGGTGGTTTTAATAAAACAATAACAAAAAAAGACGTGCCATAAATGGAAAATCTTCGGAGCAAGATGAGAGAGCGGGCGTTGCTAGCTTGGTGGCCCGTTTGAGTGCCCTCTCATGCATGCACGTCCTTTCTGCTTAACGTGACGGCAGTTTGTTTTTTTTTTTTTTTTTGGTCGCTGACGCAATTCACCGCGATGATGATAATCGCGTGCAGCGGCGTGACTGTCTATTGGTCCACCGTTATTGTTTTTCCTCGCTTTTTCGGTTCTCTGTTTCTTCGACTCCTATATTTTTTTTTGCTGTGCTTAACCTTTTTTATGTTGGTTGTGGGTCATACGGAGAAATAAGTACATGCATGACGTGTCTGCGTGCGTGTGTGGGGAGGGTGGTGGGGATCAAAGGGAAGAATTGTAGGATGGAACAGTGGAAGCGCAGCGAGTGAGGGGGAATGAGTACGTCACACGGGGCGACTACCCGACGGCCCTTAAGGCGTATGAGCAGGGCGTGAAGCTGGCCGTTGCGTCCCCCTCGGCGCTCAGGAGTCAATTCATGCCAGAAGTGGCAGATGACCGACGGCAGCAGCAGCATCAGCGTTGGGTAGCCGTTGGTAAGCTGCACGGAAGCGCCTGCAGCTGCCTTTGGGTACAGCGGAAGTACGTGGCGTGTCGACAGTGTGCGCACAAGCCCTCTACGAATGCATTCAGTTGTGGCGAAGGCGTATGGAGTCATTTATATGTGCTCATTGCAAGCTCCACCGTCGGAGGTGCTGCGGCCTCATCTCTGCCATGGCGGAAACGCCGCAGTACCCAGTCGTTACTGGGAGAGGCGTACCGGCACACGGCACGGGTGCCTCGCATTGACGCCGCGATGGATGCGATGCGTCACCCAACGGGTGACGGTGGAGGTGCGACCACCACTTCCCGGCGAGGCAGTGGCGCACACTATCGACCACCGTTCTGACTTTAGAGGAACCAACGGGAAATGACACGAGGAAAAAAGAGGTGTGTGTGGAGGGGGGAGGGGGGAGTGCGTTATGACATTCACACACACTCACCCACACTCTTTCTATCCATTAGGATCGGTGGGGAAGTTGTGGTGTTGTTTGTATTCATTGTATTTTTTTTTCGTTTGTTCTTTCTTGCTTTTTTCCCACACACACTGTGATTGTGTGGGTGTGCATGCAGGTAAACGATGGAGGCACTTCCGGAGGATGAACTGCTAGTGCGGCAGCGTGAGAAGCTTCTCGTCAACGCCGCGTGGATTCAGCGGCAGCAAGGGCGGATGCACTTCACCGGCGGATGTCCTGATAACGCCGCTGGCTCAGAGTACAGCACGCCAGACGACGCTGTGATAAGAAGGGAGAGCGCCACACCACACGCAGGGGAAGAGGAGCGGAGTTGCAGACAAGCGGGAGAAGACATGAAGGCGGAGTTGACGTCGCCAGCGGCGCGGCCGCCGTCGGTGGGCAACGCCACTCGGCCCTCCCCAAACCGACAATTGAGCACCAACTCACGCATCCCTGGGGCCGTCAGGAGCTCTGTGAAAAGGGGCGACTCCCACAAGAGCGTCCGCGGAGGGTACATCTTGGGGGTGCAGGAGCGCACTGCTCTCTGGCAGCTTCGCCGGGAGCAAAAAATAGAGGAGCAGCGTGTGCTGCACGCGGAGGATTACTCGCAATGCACGTTTAGCCCAACGATACAAGGGCACCCAGAAAATACGTCTGGCTGTGCCGTTTTGGAGGCGCCAGGTGTGGAGCAGTTTTTGCAGCGGCAGGCGCGCGCTAGGGAGCTAGCCTGCATGAGGGAGGAACGAGGCCGCGTAAGTGGTGACAAATGGGGCTATCGTTTCACAGTAACAGAACCTTTTGTGCTTGGACGGCGACCGGTGGTCGAGTCTCTCCGACCACCGATAGAAAACGTGCCGGGAACTACACGGGAACTCTTATTGGAGGGGGAAAAGGAGCTGCGGAGCGGTGGCGTGCGAACAGCACATGTCGATCCGCGTGAGAACTTCTTGTCCACAACGCCGCCCTCGCTTGGGGCACTTGCGGCCGAAGCCAGCGTGTCGCTTCCACCCCCTGGTGCCTTCAGCTCGTGGACGGTGCTTTACTGCGGCGGCAAACAACCAAGTGTCAGCGAGACTGGCGATAGCAGCACTGTGTCCCAATGATTCCCTTTTCCCCTCTTTCTGGCGCCCTTTCTCTGTGACTCCGTTTGTGTATGAGAGTGAGGGTGGGGGGAGCACCCATGTCGCTTTTGATTTATTTATTTTTATTTCTATTTGTCTCCCTTTCCTTTCCTCATGATGCCTCTATGTTGTCTTATGTTTAGTTGCCTCGCACTGCAGAGCACTCTGATTATCGTATTTTATTACTTCTTCCGTTGTGTTGGCCCTTATTTGCGTTACTGAAGGCACCCGCTTATTGGTGTCACCACTTGATGGACTCTTTGCGCATGTATACATGTATCTCTCTCCACTCTCTTCTTTGCGTTGGTTGTGCGGCACGCAGAACACCCGGCAGAGACTCGCATAGAAGACGCCCTACCGCGTCACTGTATAGAAGACGACACGTGGTCTGTTTTCCACGTATTGTTGAACTGCAATGCAGAGAAAAGAAACGACGCCACCCACGGCGGCAGAGCGTTTGCGTGCGGCGCGTCGGCGGGAAGCCGCGGCTCTCTACGAGCAGTCGTTTGAGCGCCGCTGCCGCAGCTTTGTTCGAGACTTTCCGCTCTCGGGAAGCGTGCCGAGCGCCGCCTTGTCTATTGGCCGTAGCGGGCAGGTGTACGAGGGCGATGTGTCGCTGGTGCAGCGGCTCATTCAGGGCGAGTTTCAAGCACTGCAAAACACAAAAATACAGAGCCGCAGCAGCACCGGCACCGTTGCTCATGACAAGCCGCCAGCTGGTGGCACTGCAACTAAAAGTACCGTGACGGACGGCACGCCCACACCCATCACGTACTTTGAGAGGCCGCTGAAGGTCCTCAGCACCAAGTGGAACGGCGACGACATCTCACGGCGGCCTGGCTGGTGCAAGTACCGTGCAGCTACGCACAGAACGGCCATAAAATCATCTGTGGACGGTACCAACATCGCGACGCGGCAACCGTCGCTACTGATCCGCTCTTCCTCCGCAGCAACGCTGCGATCAAGCGTCAGTGGGGCTCCAGCTTCAAACCCTGTCGCGGATTGGCTGAAGACCGCGCCGCGGGACCGACCTCACTCGTCCTCCTCGTCGATAATGACTCGCAATACAACAGTCTCAGCAACTGCGACCGTGACGACGATGACACCTCGCACATGGGCAACAAACAGCGGCACCACCACTGTGGGAAACAGGCAACCTCAGGGCACAATTTCCGCCCGCCCAGCAAAGGCGAAGGTGCATCGTGGCGATGGTGCTTTGGTTCTTTCTAAGGAAGAGTATCAGCGACTCCGCCAACTTGTTGCATCGGCGTGAGGAGAGGCCCATTGCAATTATGGGTAACAGTGCAGGGGGCTGGAGGTGCATACATATACATACGGTCGGGCGGGCGAAAAAAGGTAGGTGTTTATGCCATTACCTTTAGTTCCCGCTATCTTCTCTGCATACACATTTGGTGCAGTTTTTTTTTCTCTCTCGGTGGGATGCTTCGCATCTTCTTCTTGTGTCTTTTCCCCCTCGTCGTGTTCTCCAACAAGCGTAGAAAGTGTGTGGGGAGTTTTTTTGTCCTTGCAATAGCAGGGAGACAAACAGAGAGAGGAATAACAAAAGTGAAACACGGGTGGGACTGTAAATTGACAGAAAAGGGAAGCAGTCACGCTATCAGTGGTGTGGACGGGGGCGAAGGCGAGTGAGCGAGTGAGACGGAACGACGGTGGGTTTGTGTGGAAATACAAACAAGTGGAGGAAGAAGAAGTGGGGAGCGGTCTGGTGCTACGGGAATGGGCCTTTTTGGACGAGTCTCTTTTTTGGTGATTGCCTTTCTGTCCGCGGCGTATTCCGCCTACGCACTCAGCGAGTATCGTGCCGCTTGGTGCATATCCCGTGCCCGCATTATTATCCCTAAAGCCGTGCGTCGCTTTCACGCCTCGCTGAAAAGGAATGGGCTCGCGAGGAATTGCAGTCACAGTCCCGATAAGCGGACGGCGAAGGACGCCGACAAACCCGTGGCGGTGCAGCCAGGGGCGGCAGCGAAGTTTTCCACCTCAGCGGGCTGGTCAGCGGAGACGGGGGCATTGTCTGGGTCTCTCTCCTGTCCCGTCGCCTTTGTGGACAACGCGGCCTTTGAGTCGAATGTGCACGCAGTGGTCTCACTGCTGCTTGAAAGCAAGAAACAAATACGATTGTCCACCAAAGGCGTCCACTGCCCGGAGCTGCTGGAGCGTGCTGCAGCGCTGATGGAGAGGTTTTCCCACCCGTGCTCAGACTACGATATCATCGCCCCTGGAAGGCTTCTTGTGTCGGGTTTGCTTATCTCTAACGCCGCAGAAGCGCTCCTGTGGGCGCGGCGCGGTACCTTCCCCTCCTTGTTGCTAGGAGAACCCGTCGTGGACGCGGTGAGCGCCGCCAACTACGTCGAGGCCATGACTCTTAACGCCACCTCTAAGTTGCGTTGTCTGGTGGTGGTGGATGCAGTGGCGCAGTTAGAATTACTCTGGAACGCCGCCAAGGAGTGGATCTTTAATGGCGGGTACACCCGCCTGGGATTTGACAGCGCGGTGGAATCGCTACAATTTGATTTGATGCTCCGTGGGAATCTGTCGGATGACGCTCCGTGGAGTCCATCTCCATGCGGCAAGGGGTCCCAGCCACTGCGCGGCTCTTGCCATGTGTCGCAACTATGCGACATGGTGAAGGAATTCAACGCGAAGGTGTCAAGCGAGAAGCTGCCAGTTGGGATTCAATTCGTTATTCGCGGGTTGTGGACACACGAAGATGGGCTGCTGTCGGGTACGGATATGGCTCCTACGCCCTCACATACCACCAGTTGTTTCATCCCGGCGCGATGGTGCATGCGATACCCACCCCTGCGGTGGTACAAGCGGCATGCAGCAAAGCAAATTCAACTGCGCCGTTGCTCAATGCTTGAGCAGTTGGGGTACAAGAAGCGGCCGCCGCCTGATGAATTTCTTACCAGTGGTGGAAGCAGTGCGTCGCTTGCCTACGCTGCACAAGATGAAACCCTTGCCGAGGTGTGCGTCGCGGCGGGCTTGCTGTGCGGGCACCATATGGACCGCTATGCCAACTCCATCTTTAAGCCGTCGTTGTACTTTGCACTGGCAGTAACTCGGGTGAGGCCGAAACGTGTGCTCATCTGCAGTGGATTTGGGCACAGCCTCTTTGGTGCCGTCGCAGTGTATCCGCCACAGTTGCGCTCCACGCAATGTCATGGCACCCACGTGGACGAAGACCTTGAAATGGGCGTGATGCTGTCAGATGGCACGTCAGCAGAATATTTTATTGGTATCGGCGACCCCGTCGTGTTTCGTCCCAAGTATAGCAGTACACTGCTTGAACTTGTGGACTCTCTTCTGCTTATTACGGAGGAGGGTGAAGTGTCGGCGTCCATGCGCACCTACAGAGGGGAGGGATGGAATATATGGGCTTGATAACCTAGAGACCGTTGATGAGCAGGGGAGGTGTCGTTGGTTTTCGCCCAGAACCATCTATGTCTCTGCCTCTTTACCCAACTATCTATCTAGCTTGTTTATGGTGTGAAGCCCTCGCGTTTGTATTTCTGTGTGGAGCAATGAGGTGGGGCTGTGCCAGTGAAGGAGAATTGAGAGGAGGGCGTGGATGGAGGGAGCAGAAGATACATCAACATGCACGCGTACATGTATACACATCTATATATGTATCCGCAGTGTAACATTCATAACACATGCAATGGGGAGGGAGAGGCAGTGTTTTTGTTTTTTGTTATTACCAAATTATTTGAAGATGTCTACTTTTGCCTTATGAACGGTGCGCGTGTGCGTCAGGGAGGCGGGGTGAGAGAGAGAGAGAGAGAGAGAGAAGGGGGTGGGAGAGTTGGGATGATAGAAGAGGTGGGAAGGGGTGGGGGAAGAGGGAAGGGAGTGGAGTATATATATATATATATTCAACGGCACTTGACGGCATTCTTGCGTTTTTTGGGGGTATCTTCCCGTGCATCCACCTTAGTGACGGTGCGTGGGGGAGGCGGTGAGGCGTAGTGGAAGGGGTGTGGCCCCGTCTTTGCTCTGCACGCTTGCCCTTTTTCCCTCCTTTTAGCCGGTTCCGTGCATCGTGCGTTGTGTGCATATGCTTGTTGTGCGCGTGAATGAAGAGCCTCCGTCGGACCTCACCAGCACAAGCATGACTTCCCTCCGGATTTTTTTCTCCTTTCTTCTTTTTCCCCTTATCCACCACCACCACCGCCACCGCCACCTGCTGGACGGCCGGCGCATGCGCCTCCGCCTGGGATTTCCTCTTGCGGTGTGGGGCCTGCGGAGAGGCTGTCGTCCACGGCTTTCTTGGGTGAGAACGGAGGCAGAGCAAACATAGTTTGCGACAATACAGCCGTGTACCCGCACATTACCTTCACACAGATATACACACGTCTTTAACACCACGGGAAGGGGACGCACATGGAAGAGAGGCGGCAGAAGTTTTACCCTGCTGACGAAATCGTCGCGCTGGTGCGGTCCCTCGACCGGCCGCAGGACGAGGGCCTCTTCTCAAAAGACGTCCTGCTCGTGTACCCACACCTCGCCGAGGAGTACACGCGGGTGTGTCCGCGGCGCTGCGACCTCGCCACCGCCGCGGAGAAGGCCGCCAGTGACGTGTACAGCTACGACGTGAAGCTTACAGCGCTGCGAGACGACGTTGAGTTGATGGTGAACAACTGCCACCGCTTCAACGGCACGGAGGGGGCCCTGGCCGACATCGCCAACCGTTTTGAAGCGTTCGCGAAGGAGCAGATAGACGCGTACGTCGCAAAGAAGACGGGCGGACGTCGGGTGTCGTCTTTTCGCCTATCTACTGCCACTGCCGCGGGCGAGACAACGCGCGGGAAACGACAGCGTGAGGAGTCAAAAAATACGTCGGGTGACAGCAGTCCCCAGCAATCGCAGCAGTCCAGGGGCAGCAAAAGAAGCCACCCCACCCCTGCTGGTGGCGGAAGCAGCCCGGTGACCAGCGCGGAGGTTGTTAAGCTAGTGGAGTCGCTGAACCGCCGCGAGGACAAAGGCGCCTTTGCGGTGGATGTGGCAACAGCATACCCGGAGCTGAAGCAGTCGTACGAGGAGGTGTGCCCGGTGAAGATGAACCTTGCCCTTGCCAGGGAGCGTGCAGCAAGTGGCTACTACCTTGGGATGCCACAGTGCGCAGCAAATCCAGAGCAGCCGCCGTCGCCGCAGTTCAAGCGCAGACAACTGTCGGCAGCTGAGGCGTCCACTTCGTCGGTCTTTGGCAGCACAGTTGCCCAGTCTATGACGCTGCTGCGGAATGATGTGGAGCTGATGGTCTCCAACTGCCTTCGATTCAACGCCAACGCGCAGGCGTGGGTGAAACTCGCGAAGTCTTTTCATTCTTTTGCTCACAAGAAGATTGACGAATTTGTCCTTCGTCACGCTCCCGCACTCAAAGGCACCAAGTCCGGGGTTGATGCGTACGTTAATGAAGCAGACCAGCAGTCGTTGCAGAGGCCGCAGCAGTTGCTCTCCCCGTTATCGCAATCCCAGCAGCTATGTTACAGTAGCAGCCAAGACGACGAGCGGAAAACAGAAGGTACACGCCCCACTGCGGCCGCGGCTGTGGTTGCATCAACGGCAATGCATGCAAAGAAGGAAGCGGTGGCGGCGGTTGTGAGTCCCCCGCCACGTGCCTCGGCGGTGACGGTTGTGAAGTACACCACACCAATGGTTGTGCCAACCGCACTGCAGCCGGTGTTTGCAACTCCAGATGCACTGCGTCGACGGCTGGTCTCGGATCACCTTCACCGCGGGACGCTACGGGCACGGCTTATCCGCTCATCTGCTCTCGCTGGTGAGGGCGGTGACACGGGGGGCAATAAAGATGATAATGGTAATAATAATGCAGAGGAAGAAGAAGGAGCAGGGGAATTTGACCGGAAGAAAGAGACGCAGCATACTTCCGCCCAGCAAACTTTTGGCCCTGCACTTAGCTGCCGCGCCGTTCTTCGTGCCTTTGCTGCGTCTGTGGAGGATTTTTACCAATCGCAGCGGGAACGGCAGGACTTCGTCACTCCGTTTGAGTACCCGCGGCAGGAGGAGCAGCTCTACACAGACTGTATTGCCCTTATTGAGCAGCAGTTTGAGCATCTTTTTCTCCACACGCTTGTGTACGATCAGGAGAAGGCAGACTGCTACGAGTGGAGCGCCGCGAAGGCAGTTTGGAGGCTCGTCAAAGATAACGCGGCTGCCCCGTTAGCCAGCGCCGCCCCTGATGCCCCATCTCCTGGCGGTGTGTCCTGCTGGCTGGATGACGTGCACCTCTGCTACCTTGTCCGTTTCCTGCAGCACTTTCCACAACTCATGGGGCTTGCCTGCGCCACACCCACGCACTCGGCTGTGGCGACGGCAGCAGCAACAACAACAACAAGCGCAAAGCCGACCTTGCACATCACGGAAGTGGCGAAGGGCGTCATAGAGAAGCTTGCGAGAATCACTGAGGAGCTGTTGGCGTTTATTGCGCAGTATGAGCAGAAGGTGGGAAGTGTGGAGAATCCCGAGAAGGGAGGACAAGCGTCGTAAAGCATTTAACGCGGCTGCTGCATCGTTGCGTCGCTCTCTGTGTGTGTGTGCGTGAGAGTTTGTTTGCATTTTATTGTTATTGTTTTTATTTGATGTTGCCTCCCACTGGCGCAGGTGCTGCGTCTCGTGGGGGGACAGGGGTGCGAGCGGCTCCCTGCAGCTTCTTTTATTTCTGCCCCTTCCACCACCCTGACTCTCCTGCCCTCCCACTGAAGTGAAGCAAATTCACGCAAACGCAAGGATGGAACTACCGCGGCAGGAGGCGCTGCAGCAGTCAACTGACATGAACGCCCACGACGCCGTGGTCTCGTCGACACCCGCACCCGAATCGTACGTCTACGCCTGCCGCAAGTGCCGATGCGTTTTGTTCCGGCAACACGAGATTGTGCCGCACAACGCAGAGCCTGGCAGCTGTGGCAACAAGGGTTTCAAACAGCGTGGTGGAGGCCCCACCTCTCAGCAGCAGCAGCGAGAAGCTTACGCGGCGCGGGAGGGCGAGGTGTGCACAAGCTATTTCCTTGACCCGGACGCCTCACCGTGGGTAGCGGAGGAGAGCCGTGAGGTGCATCGGGTGAGTGGCGGGGCCGATGTCATGCCAGACACCATCTACTGCCTCAATCGCAGCTGCCATACAAAAATTGGAACACAGTCGTGGGTGGGCTCGCAGTGCTCTTGCGGTGCATGGGTGGCGCCGGCGTTCAAGATTCACAGTCGCGTAGTGGACAAAATGCCAGCTGCGTAATCGCACAGAGAGAGAAGTTCCGAGACCTCTCTCTCTCTCTCTCACTCTCTATTTATCTCCCTTTGTGTGTGTGTGTGTTCGGTCCTCCTTTGCGAGGTACAGCACATGAACGAGACGAAACTGCAGGTCATAGGCGCCTATGCAGGCAGAGCTTTAGGAGGGGAGAGGGGAGAGGGGGGGGGTGGCGCTGTTGCCCAGAGCCCTTCGAGGCACTTGCCGGGCTTCATCTTGCGGTTGTTGTTGTTGTTGGCGTCCTTATACTTTTTCCTCAAAGTTATTATTATTATTATTATTTTGTTTTTGTTCTCTGGCTTTCTCTTTTCCATACTCACTGTCACACAATATTCCCTGCAAATGGGGTGACATGCATGTGGGCAGAGCACACACAGTAGCCCACACATACACAGAAGTTTTTATTTTACTTTTTTTTTCGACTCGGCTGCGTGTGTTTGTGTTCCAGCCTTCGCCGCCTGCTGCTTTCTCTTTTTGTCCACGGGTAGGCCGGGATAACGACGAAGGCAAACGAGGTCAACAGAACAAATGCAGGGCGCGCAAGATGCCCTTCCGTGCCTCGTGGGTAGTGAGGTGGTTGCGTATGTCCGTTTTTTGCTGGAATGGACCGACGCCACACCACTCACCACAACTGGGCAGGTGCACCACCGCCTCGTGACGCTCGGCACGGGGGAGGAGGAGGTGCAGTTGCTGCGCACCCTCAAAAGTGAGCAGCTGCCCGCGTTAGTGGAGCAGATTTCGGCGGGGATCGCGCGGGGTGAGGCGCGCGCCGCGTGCCCGGTGGTAGTGCGGGACGCCGTGAAACATGTGATGTCTGACGGATGCGCGAGCGGTTCCCGCAGCCATCGTGTCTCTTCCGTGCGGCAACCAGCGACTGCAGAGAAGCTTCTCGCGGTGGCCCGCAGTACGCAGTACCGCGGGCCCCTCGTTCTGTTGATTTTCCACCCGAATGATGCAGTTAGCATTTGGTCGCGCGAGACACTCTTGCGGCTGGTGAACCTCGCGGCATCGTCCTCCGCAGAGGCGCCGGCCGCGGCAAACGACGTGTGGCTCTTGGGGATGCAGTTGCTGTGTACAATCAAACATGTCACCTGCGCCCCGCTGGATTTGCAGGAGGAGGGGACGAAGCGTCTCGTGGCTGATGGATGCTGCAGTCTGCTTGCCGTTCTCACCGCATTAGACGCGAAGCTCGCAGAGCTTGAACGTGCCATACTGCAGGCTGCAGCCGCAGCAGGTGAAAAAATTTCGTCTCTCTTCGGTGGGGTGTCGTCGGCGACGGTTCTCCTGCTCGGCGGAAGCATGTTGCTGGACTGGCTAATCTCCACGGGGCCCGCAAAGAGTACGCCGACGACATCTGTGACGAATGAGTTGGCCGTAGTGCTGAACGCCCAGCTAGGAGTCAACACGACGCTGCAGCCTGCTTCCCTCGCTAGTGACACACAGCGGGCGCTAGTGAAGGTACTCGTGCATTGTCTTCTTGACAACGCCAAGCGTGCTGCGACGGCATCGCGCGAGGGTGCGTTGTGGTGCGCGAGGCGCATGCGGGAGTTATGGTGCGTGGCGTCGCACATCGACCCGCCGCCGCCAACGACTGCCAGAACAAAATTGCCTGTCAATGGAGCGTTACGTTCTCCTCCTGCGAAGTCGGCGGGTTGGTTGCTGCGGTTCCTGATGCGCAATGCATCCGTGCAGCTCAACATGCAGACGGCGCTGCGTGGGGCGACAGGAGGTGCGCCAAGTGATGCCACATTTCACACAATGGAAGTTGCCGTGCACGCCCTCCGATCTCTGCTGACAACGCTCGCTGACACACTCCCTGAGCTGGCGACCTCATGCTACTACCATGAGTTTCTGAGGTTCATCCAAAAAGACTGTTTGACGTTGATGGCCGCCATATCCATGCGCTCCCAAGAGCCGTACATCGCCCTGATGGTTTTACGGCACTTTTTGCTTACAGATTTAGTCTTGTTTGGCAGCGGCGGGGCGTCAAATCCCGGGGAATGTCTTCGGCCCGCGTGGGAGATGCTCCCCGAGTTACTGCAGCGGACCATTATTTGGCATAGTGACAAGGCAGCCTCAGCCTCATCGTGTTCGCCGTTGCTGTTGCTGCGGGTGCTCGAGGTGCTGGATGTCACCATGGAGAAGTCGTCAGCATGCGCCTGGCTATTCCTCAAGCCACTCAAGGACGGACCGCAGCCTTTGGCTTGGGTAGTAAGCAAGTGCATGGAACGCCTCACCAACACCGTGCGGGGGTCTATGAAGGAAATGCGCCAACAGTGGGAGGAGGCGATGATGGCGGGAGGCAACATCAGCACTGGAACTAGCCGCGGCGTGAGCCATACGTGTGATAATAACAGTAATACCTACTATGGCTACGGCGACGGTGAGGTCAACTACAGTCCCTGTCAGGGAAACAAGTCTTCGGTGGTTGCCTCGCGGCTTCTTTCCTCCGGCTCATCCATTCCTCGTCTGGCACACGTCTTGATGCTCTCCACCGACACCGTGACGCGTCGTCTGGGGGAGGCGATTTCCGCCATCTTTCTTCGTTGCTTTAGTTCTGTCGTGCACAACACGTTCCGCGCCGACGCAGCGAATTGGCTGCTACAGGTGATTTTACATGACCCCGTGCTCCAGGAGAGCAAGCTGAAGCTCCATGACGCGAAGGTTGACGCTGTCGTCCGGGCCAGTGGGGCGACGTGGGTGACAGTGATGTGCAGCTGCAATTGGAGCAACTTATCGCCGGATATTCTTGCAACATCGTGGTGGTTATGTGCGCTTTTGGCCGATGTATGCGTGTTGGAAACGCCTCTAGGTGATCAGCTGCTGGACCTCGTTGTCACGCAACTTCCTTCTCTCACTGGAGCTGCACCCGTGGATATGCGTCTCGTAAACCCCACCGCCGCCACTGCTGCTGTTGTCGCCCCCGCCACCGAGAATGAGGCAATCTCTTCTCACAGTCTGCAGTCGTTGCGTCAGTGTGCACAGCACTTGCTGCTCGTGCTTCTGCAGAGGTGTTCCCGGTATTCGTCAGTTATATTTGTCCGTGCTCTCCTGCATGTGGCTGCAACGTCACCACCGCTAACGCGGTCCTCGTCCGATCGGTCCTTCAAGTCGGCCCTTTTGAACGCCTTTGTGGGCGTGCTACAGGGGCTGCCGGCGGAGGCAAAGGAGATGCTGACGAAATACGCTCCGCCCTGGTTAGCGGAGATTCTCCGCTCTGCACAACAAGGCATTGACGACAGCGTGGCGGAACAGAACCGTCGCTTCCAGCAGTACGAATTTGAGGAGAAGCAGATGAAGTTGTTGGAGGAGGAGGACCGCAAACGGGCAAGGCAGGAGGAGGTGCAGTGTCGTGCGAACAGAGAACAGCGTCGGAGGGAGCTGGATTGTGGGCGTGAGCAGCCAATAAACAGCAGCAGCAGCGTCCAGTGTGCCGTCACGCTGAAAGCTGCAGTGAAACGCCCGCGTGACGATATGTCTTCGATAATGATTGCGCAAATTGACCCCGGCAGCGGCGGGACGTTGCAGCAAAAACATGGGCCACTCTTGCAGGCGGCGAAGAACGTTGGTGCCATCATGAGTGTCTCCCAACAGCCAGCGGCAGCGGCAGCGTCTTCTCCACCTACAGCACTTCAACGGCATCTGCAGGAGCTCGGGGAGAGACGTGTAAACGAGTTCATTCGTGTCGAGACTATCAACAAGACCGTGGAGGTCCTTCGTCGCATTGCTGGCAGCACCGACGTCTCGCGTCGTCCCCCGCTAACAGATGACATCATTGGTCATGGGCGATATTGTCTAGCCGTCGATGTGCCTGTCATTCCGCAGCAGTTTGCTTCTACCAACAACGCGGCTGGGGACCTTTACGTGGCGTCTTTTCTCCCGCACATTGCGCTTGAATTGCGCTATGAGTTACACCAACGGTTTGATGAAGTAATGGACTTTTGTCGCACGCGGGAGGTCGTAAACCGGCGGGGAGGTGACCGCTCAGCGACGACGGCGTCAACAGTGCGGGCCCAGGCGATCAATCCTCCCAGTGGTGGAGGCGGCGGCCTGCCTACGCCATCATCGTGGATCACCGACAACGCAATGCCGGTGGTGTGCGCAGGTGATGTTGCGCTTAGCCCGCCGGACTTCATCTGCCTGCAGCTTCGTGTGATGCTGAAGGTGGTGCCTGGTGCGACTTCTGTGGCGTCGCTGAGCGCGGGGCTCTCGGAGGGCGATGTCGCGCTTCTCCTGTTGCCACTGCCTCACATCGCTGCATCCCTGCCGCAACTCTTCAACGAAGCCGATGGACGCGGTATACCGGAGGCCTGGCATGTGCTTGGGTGTGTCCCAAAACTGTGTCTTGTGACTTCACTGTCACCGGGGCAGCGCACGGCGGCACTTACGGTGTTCACGTCATCGACGACGGCGTCTTCGTCTTACTCCTCCTCCGCTGACAGTGTCGCTGGCGGTAGTAATAGTGGTGGCGACAGCAATGGCACCATGTCGATAAACTTTTTGCATGCACTACGAGTGTTTGTTTTGTCGCAGGCGCACTTCTACATTAAGCGCCTCGCCTCACTTAATCCATCACTCGCTGCAGTAAATGCAATTTATGGCATTCAGCGAAAGAACTTCGCCCGCACACTGCTGGAACCGAAGTTGGAGGCCAGAGTCAGTTGTTTGTATCATCGTGCTATTGAGCGGGAACTCGTGCTGAGCGAGCGCTGGGGCGAAGTTTCTCTTGCGCTTCTGCTGCACCATTGCCTTAATGATTGGCAGAAACGCGCCATTGTGGCAGTTCTCTTCGCCGTTGCCCCAGGTTGGGCGGCGGCTGCGCTTAAGGTGCCTCTATCGGCCTCACTTCTTCCAACATCACCAGTTTTGTTTCTTATTGAGGGACCGCCAGGGACGGGTAAAACGCAAACGATTGCGATTCTCACGCTCAACCTGTTGCAGTATCTGCCGAAGACGGCCCGTCGGGTGCTTGTGTGCGCCCCGTCCAACTGCGCCGTGGACGAGGTGCTGCTGCGGTTGCGAAGTCTTACAACGCGTGTGCCGCAACTTGGGGATGCGCAGCTCGTTCGCGTCGGTGTACGTGACAATGTTGATCCTGCAGTGTTGGCGGCCTCACCGCCTCTCTTTCTTGACGACTGCGTGGGGATATTGGCGGATGTCTTCAACACATCGTGCCCTGCGGTGACGGAGCGCGTGGGGCGTACTGGCGAAGCTGATGTGCTGGCGAATGGTCGTCGCCAACAGGTACGTGATCAGGTGCTCTACGGGGCTCACGTGGTTTGTTCCACGCTGGGGTCGTTGAGTCAGCTGCAGCGCGCTGACTTTTTATTTGATGTGGTGATTGTGGATGAGGCCTCCCAGGGCACTGAACCTGATGTGCTGCAGGCGTTGATGCTTGCAAAGAAGCAGGCGGTGCTCGTCGGCGACTCCAAACAGCTGCAGCCTACTGTCCTCTGTCAGGCTGCTGCTGCGCGTGGACTGAAGCGTAGTTTGCTCCAACGCCTGTTGCAGCAGGGTCACCGCTCCTACTTGTTGCGTGTGCAGTACCGTATGCACCCTGACATCTGTGCGTTTCCGAATCGCTACTTCTATGGCAGGAAACTTCTCACACACGCCAGTGTAATGACGCGGCAACGCAGCGCGACTCCGCAGGCACTGCCTCTATCGACCGACGTGGAGAAGGTGCCGCGGTTGGTGTTTGTAGATGTGCAGGATGGACGTATGGAGTGGGGCAGGGGACGCTCGCTGATGAACAGCCAGGAAGCGGACGCCGTAGTGCTGCAGATGCGTCGCTTCCGCGCGATGCTGCACATCGCTCCTAAGGAGTTTGCCCGCCGGACTGGGATTATCACCTTCTACCAGGCGCAGAAGGAGGCAATTCTGAGGCGGCTTTCTCGCGAGGAACGCTGCAGCGACCTGCAGGTGGCGACTGTGGATAGCTTTCAGGGGAAGGAAAAGGACATCATCTTCATCAGCTGCGTCCGCGCCCCGCATGCCGCATCTCGCTTCGACGTCACTGCGACTCTGGGCTTCTTGGAAGACTGGCACCGCATCAACGTTTCACTCACCCGCGCCAAGGAGTTCTGCGTGGTGTTTGGGCACGCACAGACGTTTCGTGCTGCCGCCGCCGCCGCGTTGGCGAAGCAGCAACAGAAACAAGAGGCACAGCCGCCATCTGAGTCTGGAGGCGCGGGGGACGGCGGTGCCGCCGCCGAAGAAGACGACGACGTCATTCACGAAGCCACACCGCCGCCGCCAAAGTCGGATGACGATCCCCTCGTTCTCGCTGAGCTGGTGCAGTACGTGGCGGGAGTGGCGCAGCAGAAGTCAACTGGCAACAACGCCGCTGCCGCGATGTTCAGCAGCAACAAAAACCTGCATCTGCTGAGTGAGCTGCTCCTGCAGTCGTGTGGGGAGCAGCAGCCATAGAACTCAAGGGAAGCAGAAGCAAGAGCTGATTGCGGAAGTTATCCGGTGATGGAAGGTGAAGTTTGTGCGGCGTCCCGGTGGGTGTGGAAAAAAAAAAAAATGTGTGAATGGAGTAACCAGGACGTTTCACGTTTATATATTCTTCTTGTTTTGTGGTGTCCGCTTGCCTTGCGGCTTGCAATGTGTTGTTGCTGCCGACGCCATCGTCATCCCGTCCTCCCCTCGTTTTTGTTTTTTTTTGTGCCTGTGAGTTTCCAAAGGAAAGTCAATGGTCTCCGCAAGTCAGGCAGAGCGGGTGCAGGTGGTGGTGCGTGGGCAGCGGTTTGAATCAACTGTAGAGATTCTCTCGGCGTACTGCGTCTTCTTTCGCAGTTTCTTCCGTGAGGCACGTGGGAAGCTGACGGCCTCCAATGACGTTGAGGGTGTCGACGACGACTGGTGGGCGTGCCACGCTGCTGCCACGCGCACGCTCGGGAAGTACCTGCAGCGGCCCGTCAAGGACGGCGAGTTGCTGGTCGGCGTTGCATCCATTGAGTTCGACCGCGCGGCGTCTAGGTGGAGGTTCGTGTACACCGCCAAGACCCTGGCGCCCGAGGACGTGGGGGTTGTTTTGGTGTACGTTCGAAAACTGTTCCGCTGGAGCCAACAACAGCAAGACCAAGAGCGGGAGCCACAGCTACCGATCCGCTGGGATGAGATGACGTACGACGCGCAGCTGGCGCTGGCGCGAGTTGTCTGCAGCTTTGGTGTGGAGCCGCTTGTTGGACGCTTCGATTTTCCCACCGCACCGCTCAGCCATGGGGCGGGCACGGAGGCGGATCCCGTTTTGCTGCGGCATATGGCAGAGGCGTACGTGCGAGAACGTCTGCAGCGGGAGGAATCTTTGGATGCGGGAGCAGCACAGGAGGGGGCGGCGGCGGCTAAAACAGCGACAGGCGCTGGAGGAGGCAGCCGTTGGCGGCACGATGTTGAAGGTGATGATTTGGTGTTGGCGGCAGCGGCGTGTTCAAGGTGTGGGATCACTGGACACACGGACGTTGACTGTCCGAAATGAGCACACGTTCCTCTCCTCAGTTGGCAGGTGATCATCTGATTCCTGTCGCTACCCCTCCCTCTCTTTCTCTCCTCCCCCTACCTTTTTTTTTTTTTTTTTTTTTTGATGCGTATGTGACTGTGGATGTGTATTTCCCTCCCATCCTCACATGCGCGTTCACCTTCCTCTCTCTTGCTATCGTTGCTGCACAAAGAGAAAGAACGTGTTAAGGAGGTCCGTCTCTGTACATTGCCCGTGTGCGTCTCTCTCTCTCTCACACACACACACTGCGGAGACGTGTGGTTAAGCGACAGTCCCTCCGCATGACGAAACGAGAACGCCGCCACCGCAGTCCAACTGCCACGGTGCCGCACGCGGATGCCGTTGCCATCAGCAACAAGGGCTCAAGCGGGGGGGAAGAGGCGTGGACGGCCATGGAACATCAGCTGGACCTTTTTGAGCCGCTGCTGCGGCACTACATCGCTCTCGTGGCGTCCACACCGGACACTGCCCCTGGCGATGATGGTGACGATGGCGCCCAAGCCACGCATAGTGGGAATCCGACTGGCCACGGCGCATTGAACGGGAAGGGGGCAAAGGTCGTTACACAGCACTCACCGCAGGAACAGCAGGGTCCCACTGAGGCTGTCTCACACAAACGGTGTGAGTTGCTGCGGTCTTTTGTGTTTCCTGCCACCGTCAGCAGTTACCTTCGCCGCGTGTCACTGCTACCGGGGGAGCAGACCTACGGAGGTGAGGTGAAGCGACGCCGTCCAGAGGCTTCGCCCCCCCGGGAGGAGAGTGAGTCAAAGTTGCTTGAGAAACTCCGCAGCATTGCGGAGGCGCAACTTCCACCTTTCGCTGACGACAGTGAGTTCATCGCAGCGCACGAGAGCCGGTACGTGTGGAGGGAGTCAGCCTTCTTTAACTCCAGTTTCCGCAATGACAGCGCGCAGCTGCTTCAGCTGATAACGAAGGCAAAGTTGGACGTCTTCCTGCACTGTCGCCCCTGCCAAATGGCGGCGATCGACCTCTACACCCAACACATTGCCACCCGACTGCAGAAGATGCGAATCTCACCCCGTGTGGTTCGCGTGGCACAAAAACTGCAGCTTGAGCAGCACGAGCTGGAGACGCTGACGTACGTGCTCGTGTGCCACTGCGGCTCGGCGTGGCCGCTGCACTGCGGCGGTAGCGGCTCCCTGATTCCCGCTGCCCTCGCGCTTCACAACAACCTGAGCTCATTTCAGCTGATGCACTTCCTTGCCGACTACCGCGAGCACGTGAAGCAGGGCATGCTGACGTCCGACATCAAGTTCAAGAACAGCTTTATGGACTGCAGGCTGGCGATGCCGCAGGAGGTTATTGCGGCGCTCGCGGGTGACAGTCTATCGGAGGAACAGTTGATTCGGCTAGAGAAAACAGCTTTGGCGGAGGTTCTCATGGCGGAGCGCGCGGATGCCGCGACGACACCAATAACCACCACCACCGCAACGGGGGCGCTGGCAACAGTCAGTGCAACGGCCGTCGACAAGACGGAGGCATTGCACCACACGGACGCAGAGGACGGCGAAGAGGAGGCGTCGCACTGTAGCAGTGGTGGAAGCACACCCAATCTGGAGGCGCTTGGCGTTGACGCGGCCCCGCTGCAAGGCGACGACGAGAACGCCATCGAGACGGCCCTGACCGAGCGACTGCAGACGTTACCGCTGAATCTCCAACAACTGCAGCAGGGCAGTGGGGTAAGTGGACGCAACTGCAGCGTCGCCTCATTGAATTCCTGTGTTGTGGCAGGGTCCGTGCTCCATGCGCCGTATGTAAATGATATTGAGTACATGGACGAGTCCTTCAAGCTGCTCTCCAATGTTGTGCGCCTTCGTGGGGCGGAGAGTGACATAAAAGATGAGGAGGATGCGATGTTTACACCAAAGACGAAGGTGGAGGCGATGATTCGGGAACTTCGGGGTAGAGTGCGCGTGGCCACGGCGATTCACCGCTCCCGCACCGAGGCAACGCTGAAGGCTGGAAAATTTCTTCCACGTATTGAGGCGCTGTCGCAGCGACTGCAGCTCTCTGACCTTGAAAAGCGTATTATGTTGTTGCTCGTTGGAAACGTCGTGTCGCATGACATACTTATAGCTGTTAACGGCCGCTACGTTATGCGGGAGGGGCAACGGGTGCTGACAGTTGGCTACATTCTCTTCGTTCTTTGTGAGACGCTTAAGGAGCGAGTGGCAGCCCGCAAGTCGTTTTATCAGTCGGGACCGCTTCTCGCGAACAGCGTGTTGTCCCTCTCGCTGGACGGCGGCAATGGCCGCACCTGCTTTAACACTGACCTTATGGACTACGTAGTCGACATTGATCGCAAGATTGTCGACTACCTCATGGGCACGGAGACGGAGACGGCAGAGATGGTGCCGGGGTCCCAGCTGTACATGCCGGTGGTGCCCATGGAGAACGTTGTGCTTCCAAAGTGCACCACAGAGATGGTGGTTACGATGATTCAGCACTACAGCCTGTTTGAGCAGTGCAAGCGTGTCTGTGGGTTTGACGAGGGACTCGGCACGAGCACGAGTGGGCTGGTGTTCCTCTTCTACGGCCCTAGCGGTACCGGCAAGACGATGCTGGCAAATGCGGTCGCCCACGAGCTCAAAAAGCGTATTCTTCTTGTCAACCTTCTGCAGTTTAAAAGTGATGCCAAGGCGCCAGAGATGCTGCGCTTCATTTTCCGTGAGGCGAAGTTAAACGACGCGATGGTGTTCTTTGACGAGTGCGAGGCAATCTTCGAGTCCCGTGAGGCCAACCCGCTCGTCACATCCATCCTCGCTGAGTTCGAGAAGTACGACGGTCTCATTGTGCTGGCGACCAACAAGGCGCAGCTGATTGACGAGGCGATGAATCGCCGCATCTCACTCATGGTGGAGTTCCGCCTCCCTGATCAGCACATGCGGGAACAAATTTGGCGCGCCCACCTTCCACGCAATCTTGTACTCCACGAGGACGTCTCTATCCCTACCCTGGCGCTCAATTACGAACTTTCGGGCGGCCTCATCCGCAACGCGACACTGGCCGCCCTCAGCAAGGCGGTCGCGCGGGAGAGGACGGTGACACCCACGCTGTGCATGCGCGACCTTGAGGAGGGCGCACGACTGCAGCTGCGTGGGTTTTTTCTCGCCGCGGAGAAGCCACCAGGCGCCTCCACGGAGTCGTACATTACGCCGAAACGGTCGCTTGCCGATCTCGTGGTGGAGCGGCAAACGCGGCAGCAACTCGATGCCGTCGCACGGTATTCTAAGAGCCGTAGCACACTCTTTTCACAGTGGGGATTCAGTGAGGACGCCTGCGTGGATCAGGGGGCGCTGTACCTCTTCTACGGTCCCAGTGGAACTGGAAAGAGCCTCGCCGCGGAGGGCATCGCGTACGAATGTGCTGCAACGATACGCCTCTGCAACGTTGCCGAACTGATGCTAGTTGCGGGCCTGAAGGTGCATGAAGTGTTCGCCGAGGGACGTAAACTCGGCGCCATCATCGTCTTTGATGAGGCTCAGGTGCTGTTCAACCACTCGGAGCAGAGCCTGCATGTGGCGAAGCTTATCCACTACCACGCCATGCGCTACCCACGCCCGGTGCTCTTCATCGCGACGACGGGAACGGCGGGAATGTCAACCATTGACGTACGTGCGACGCCGCTGATATTCCAGCAGGAAATCCCTTTTCGCATGCCAACGCAGCGGCTCCGACGCGAACTTTGGCAGCACGCGTTGCCAGAGCGGATGCCCGTTGCCGACGACATTGACCTTGACGAGCTCAGTAAGGCGCCTGTGTCGGCGAAGGCCATCCACGCGGCGGCGTTTGGCGCCTGCTGCAGAGTGGCCATGCTGAGCAACGAGGAACGGCGACTGACAATGCAGATGCTTCGTGACGAGCTGGAGAGCATGCGAGTCAAGGAGAAGGACTGTCACCCGCATAGCTTAATGTTCGCCTAATTGCAAGGATGAAAGCGCAACGGAGGATAAATAAAGCGGGCGGTGGACCAAAAGATGGGCGTCTCGCTACGCCAGTGGGTGGGTAGATGGGGAGATGGCGAAGAAGAGAAAGACAGAGAGGAAAAAAGGGAAAGAACGAAAGACCAAGCTACAGGTGCCGAATAAGAAGGGGGAGGGGATCTGTAAAGTGTGATGGACGGCGCACACGAAATGTGATGAGCGAAACAGAGAGAGCAGGTGAGGTGTGAGGTGCGTGAATGCATGTGTTTGTGTGACGACTGAATTATCCCCCCGCCGAAGTAATTTTTTTTTTAAAAAAAACATGACTTTTTTTTTTAACGTTAATGGTTCTAATCCCTCTTACTGCTGCTCACCGTGTTGTCGCTGTTTTTTTTGTTTGTTTGTTTGCCGCCGCCACAGCCGCCGTGTTTTGGCTCTGTGATGTGACATAAATCCCACTTCTTTTCTTTCGTTTTTTCCCTCTGTTCCGCATGACGCCCTCTTCACCCGCAGACGTAGCCGAAGAGGAGGAGGAGGAAGAGAGGCGGAGGTGCCCGCGCACGTATCCGGCATTTGTCAAGCGTGGTAGACTAAGACGGTGAGTGAAAAAGAGGTGTGGGAGTGCGTGGAGGTGGCGGAAAGGAAATAGAGTCGCCACCGCGGGAGCAAAGCTAAAAAGAGGTGTGGAGGGGGTGGTCAAAAGGGAGAGGGAAGGAAGTACTTTTCGTGCTCGTGTATTGTGTTTATATTTATTTATACTTGTCTAGAAGGGAGCAGCTCTGCACGAATGACTATAAGCGACAGTGGGTGTTTGGCTTCCGTTAAACGTCTTCTTGTGCAGGAGCCATGGGAGAATCCGGTCCGCGCGAGCGAGGTCATTTGCAGTCTGCTGGATGCCTCACTTATGTGGTGTTGCGGGGACAAGACATGTGACCACCCGGTCGCAAACGCAGAGGACAAAGTGGAGGTTGCGGGCCTCTTCTTCAACTTTGTCAGGTACTTTGCCACAGCACTCACCCGCAAGCGCCTCGGAGGTGTCCGTGGCGCTCCCACAACGGCTGACACGAGCGTCGTTAGCGTGTCAGCGTTCACCGACGCCACAGTTGGAGCCCCACAACCACACAGTGCTGCGGCGTATCAGAGCAAACTGCGGTCCTCCGTCGTATTTCCTCCCATCCACGAGCTTTGGCGGCAGCCGTCTCTCGTGGCAGCTATCGAGCGTCTTGCAGAAGTCGTTTGGAGCATTCAAATGCTGCTGCACGCTGGGGACGGTCATGTATGTGTCGCACAGGTGGGGCGGTGTCCACTTTGCTACGCAGCAAGCATTGAACATGTCTCCGGGACCGACGCCATGTGGTCCCTCCTTGAGTTCTACGCCGTCTACCGCGTTGCCGAGGTGTCCTCTGACCGCGGGATAAGGAAGTCCTCCAGTTTGACTGATGACCCCTCAACAGACGCCAGTCATGAGCTGATTCTCGTCCTTGACGTCGACACCCGACGGCTGTTGTGGACGCATGCCATGGCGGTATGCCGCAATGCCGTTTGGAATGGCGCCGTGCAAACCTTGCGTCTCTCTGTCGAGCAGTGGGTATACTCCGGGACGCATCCGACGCTGTTTGCGACGGTGCATCAGCAGGGGAGTCCCACAGCCGTTCAGGTGGACGGAGACGTCATTAGCCTCTTTGCCTTTATTTTGATTCAGTGCTGCCTCCTCATTCAGGATGAGGTAGTGTTCGAGATGGACGTCCGCACCGCCGCCATGCAGGCAACACCTGCCGGCAAAAGGCAGTATAAAAGCCATAGACACGGAGCGCTTGAAGAGGCTTGCCATGAAAAGGAAGACGGCGATGTTGCTTCCCAAGCATCATCATCGCTGTCGCTAGAGGGACGTGGTGATGCTGGGTTGTATGACTCACTCGTGGCACTGCGTGAGATGTCGCATGCGGCAGGTGTCATGGCCGCCTTCGTAGCTCTCACCATGACGGCGCCGCATTACGCGACAGGCGGAGTAACATTACTGCATTGGGTGTGTGCAAAGGGCTATGAGTTTTGTGTGCGGCTGCTCCTCACGGCGTGGGTGGCGGTGTACCGCGACGCCCGGTTGCCGCCGAGCGTTACAAGCCCCGTGGCGTGTGAAGAAAAGCGCGTGCGTGTCGACTTTGGGCCAGCGCAGGTGTTGGAGGTGCCTACGGACACGGCGGCAGCTCCGAAGACAACCGCGAAGGCCATCCGCTGCACTGCGCTGCAGGTCGATGATGAAATCTTATCTTGCGCTGTGCGGGGGGGAAATGTGTCCGTGCTTCGTCAGTTGCTTCTTTGCGGGGCCTCACGGCACCAGTGGAAAGACAAGGAGCCGACGGACAAGGAAGTGGTGGCGCTGCTGCTTGACCCCGGCAGCGTGCTGGACGGGGTGGTGGGCACGCTGCACGAACGCGTTCGTGATGCTCTTTGCGCCACTGCCGCCGCTGACGCCCTCGCGATCGCCGCTTGGCGACTTTGGAGTGAAAAGGTGCAGAAATTGGCCGTCGATAAGGCGGGGGAGGCGCCGTACAGGCGATCACACGACGGCGTCATGCGCACCACCCTTGCCGCGCTTGAGTTTGACCCACACAACCCTCTTGCCCGCACCACGCTGCGGGACCTACTTGCACGCAAAGTCACGGATATCCTCGCGGCGAAGCTTCCGACAGGCGAAGCCGCTCTGCATCAAAGGCGTTACTGCCAGACAGCACGTCGGATGTGCGAGCAGCTCCTTACGACCCACACGGGGCGCGAGGGAGAGATGGAGTCTCTTCTGCGCTTCAGGGCACTCCCCTCGGCGGACTCGTCGTCCCTAATGAAGACGACAACGGCACACATGGCGTCGGACAACACGTTTTTGTTTTTGCCATTTGCTGAAAGCGCAGGCGTCAGTGGCGGGGGCGGGGGTGGGTCGTCGGCGACGATTGCCATCGACAAGCAACGGAGGCCGGTGTTTGCGCTGGTGAACCTCACTGACTCCGCAGTCTCGCCCACGTCAAAGACGACGGCGATGATGCATCCGCTGTGGGTGCGATTGCCGCACGGTGTGGACGTCCATCGAAGCCTTGAGCTTGCTGGGGGTCTTTATGGGGTGGTGGAGAGTGCTATGCCCCTCATTGCACCCGTGGAGCGTGGCGACCTCGTAGTGTTTACACTGCGCCAAAAGTGTTATCGCTTTGATGTTACTCGAATCGTGCGCCCGCAGGATGGCGTGGTGGTGGAGGTCCCATGCGTGCTGCAGGGCACTCGCGACGAGGTGAAAACATCCGTTTTGCGCTGCGCCTTGGTGCCACCGCCCGTGTACGAGTTGGACGATGACCGTGTCGTGGCTGATCCTCTGCAGTGGCTTGAAAGAGCATCCACGCCGACCAGTGACGCCGTAGAGCAGATCCTTAACAGTCGGCAGCACCTGCAGAGGTGGCTACACATCGCTCATCGGGGTCGTCGTACGTTGTGGTTTAACGAGGTCCCTCTGGCCCCGAGTGAGGCATCCGTTTGGCGTCTTGGTAAGGCTTACAATGAGGCTGAGGCGCGTCCCATTTTTGCCACAGCATCATTTCCTCTCGTAGGTAGGGCGGAGGCTGAGGTGGTGGATGATCCGTTTGGACTGACGTCAGAGACCATCTTTGTCTTGCGGCCAGCAGGAACCCGCGTGGTGGAAGGTGACGTGGCCTTCCGGGTGGCAGGTGTCTTCCCTAGGTGGGGGTGGGGGTAATCGTTCCTATTGTCGCTGATGGCACTGGTGGGGGTGGACCTGGTGTTAGCGTCGAAAGGATTTGTTGGTAGCGGCAGTTTGTCTCTCTCTCTCTCTC